TCCCGCCCGTGGGGTGTTAGAATATAGGATGCAATGGGGGGGGGGGCGGAGAGAGCACAGAGGTTGGGGGCTGAGCACAGGCAGGACAGCATCTCGCCACCTTCAGGCCCTAGTGGGAATCACTCTGGCTGCCTGGCTTGCCAGGTGGGTTTAAACTTTATGGGAAAGGAGCGATCGGACAGATAATCGGGGCTGGAGGCAGAGCAGGGAGTTATGGGAAAGGCTAAAGCTGTGGGTGTCACTGAACCAGGGGAAACACCATGTGGGATAAAACCTAATAATCCCTCTCAATACACTCCTGTCTGCCCTGCCTCTCCCCCATACACACCCCCATCTAGCTGTTTGAATGGGGAAACTGAGGCACGGAGCGGGGTAAGTGACTTCTTCAACATCACATAGTGAGTGAATGGCCAACCTGGGGACAGAACCCAGGAGTCTTGACTCCCAGCTCCCCTGCTCTAACCCACTAGACCCCACTCTTAACTTGATTCTTAGCAGAGGAGTGATTGTTTCAGACGTTGTATCAGCCAATTAGCTCAGAGTCTCTGCACATGCGGGCAGGTGTTACTGTGTCCCTTGCACTTGGGCGGCTCTCCCTTCTTGCAGCAATTGGCTCAGGCTCTCTGCACACTCAGGCAGGTGTTACTGCATTGGTCAGTTACTCTTGTTTCTGTGGTTATTGCAATGACCACAAAGACTAGAAACATTCTGTTAACGCAGGTTCTGGCTCTGGGGCAGTGGATCTGGGGTGGTGGGGCTCTGGGGAGTGGTTCTGGGGTCGTGTAACTGGCAGGACACGGGGGAGGAAGTGGCAGTGCTGAAAGAGGTGGGCATGGGGGATGTTCTTAGCTTTGGCTGACTTCTTTGGAAAGCAGCCTTGCCAGCAGCTGCACACTTCAGCTCAGACCAGGGCATGGCCCTGGGCAGAGACCATGACCTCCAAGGTTCTTAATGCCAGTGGGTGGGTGCTGTGCTAATGGGGACGGGGTATGGTGGGGATTGGCAGGCTCTGATGGCTGTTGTCAAACGCAGGCTCCCTTGACTGGTTGGGGGATGCTCCAGCAGGAGGCGCTGTGCTGCCTGGGCTAACAGGGACTCTAGTCTCAGTGTAAGTTCCCTGCTGAGGTTCCCCTGACGCATCCCCACACAGTGTGTGTGAGCCTGCACGGCTGCCTGCTGCGGGGGGAGGCAGGAGCATGTGAGCACTCAAGCCCTCGCTCTGTGCTGGGGGCCGCCTTGGCCTGCTCCCTGCCCCCACCCTGCCCCTCGCGTCTCCAGAGGGCCCCTTCTGCAGCTTGGGAGACAAACCCCTTTTGGCCTGCAGCCCAGCTCAGCACAGGGACCCACCATGTACAATGCAGTGCGATGGCTGCTGTCTGACAGGCCTCTGCCCGACCCACTCCCTTCCCCCCTATTCCCTCCTGCGGCCACAGCCAGAACCTCCTCCCCTCCCCCAATGCCCCCCTAGTGGCCCCAGACAGAATTCCCTTCCCTCCCCCATATCCCGCCCTGTGGCCCCAGCCAGAACCTCCTCCCCTCTCCCCATGCCCCGCATGGCCTGACCAGAACCATCTCCTCTCCCCTCCCCCACCATACCCTGCCCTGTGGCCCCAGCCAGAACCCTCTCCCCTCCCCCA